GGGACCCATCTTTGGAGGCTTTTCATTCACAGCCAGTCGATCTGAGTGACTGTGGCAGAAGATGTGGGGTTCCATTCTCTCCCTGAGAATTGTTCCTGATTTCATCAGGTGGACCCAATCTCCGATGGATGGAATGAAATCCAGAAAATGTGCAAGTTGTTCAGTGCCTAAATGCTTTTCTTGTTCCTCCTAGTTCAGACACTGAATTCTTGTAATACTTTAAGGATTACAGATGGTGGCTTGCTGTCACAAGTCAAAAAATCTGAACTTCAGTCTAGGGTGAAATTGGGAGAATCGGAACAAGGCTTGAGTGCTAGTTTAAAGAACCGAGCCATAAACACTTGATGCTCCGTCTGGTGGCAGAGAAGGCCAGTACAGGGGTTGGGGGGGTGGGAGTGGTGGGCCTTTGAAGCACTGCCTGCTTGAAATGGGAATCGCAATTTAGTTTTTCTCCTTCGGGAGCCGGCACCCTGCTCTTTGGTTCAAAGAATTCCAAAATGACGAACGTAGCACCACAACAGCACCACCAGCTTTATTTATTATTTCTCATACTTGCACCAGCCTCAACCACAGGGCTCCAATTAAGTCAACAACCGAGCATCAGACAGGCAGCATATGGTGAGGAGGAGGATTAATGCTTGTCCCTCATGTATTTACCTTTGGTGGAGAAAAATGAACAGCTGATAAAGCAAGGGCCCCCCTCAAGGCACAGCCAGAACCCCTGCTCCGTGCAGAGATGGGGGCTAGACTTCACAGAGGTGGGGGATCCAAACAAGCCCGCCCTTCTCCACCGGGATGGCTTCCCTCTGGAGCAGAAGGAGCTTGTTTGTGACAACAGCCACAGCTTCTCCTCCTCCAGGCTGCTGCAATGTTGTCCCTTTGCAGAAGCAACAGCTGCTCCGTTGCCAGGGCTGCCTCTGCAGCCTTCCCTGGCATGTGCCACTTCCCACAAAGGTCAGTTAACCCTTTATAGCAGAAGCGAACCGTCGTCGGCCTTGGCAGCCAGTCAACGGGCAAGGCTGGGTGGAGCCATCTCTCCGCCCCTGAGTGCAGGGGGCCCTGCCTAGTGCCCAGCTGGGTCTAGGAGAAGAGCAGGTGGGTGGGAGCCAGAGGTCAACAGCCGCATGGCCAGGTCTGAGGAGAGGGGGACGGTAGGGGTATGACCAAACAGATCAGTCGGAGCCAGGGCTTCCTGGTTATACCAGTCCAGGGGCAGTGTGGCATTGAGTTGCCAGCACAATCATGGGAAACTCTGCAATGTGACTCAGCAGCCAAAGAATCGTGTTTCGTTTTGCAGGCTGAATTTGCCCCTCCTCCCCTGCTTCTCTTCCCCCCCCCCTCTCTCCCCCTCCCTCCCTCTCAAAGAAGGGAATCTCTTGTGCTGCCCTTCAATGTCCACAAGTTTTCCGCTGGGCAGACAGGATGGAGGGCAGTCCAAGAGGCTGAAGTCCAAATCATCTGAGAGGGATGTGGACATTCAGGGAACAAGGCCATGGACAAGCCTCCCACTGCTTCTCCCTGGAGCACTAGAAGCAATTTGGTTTCACTGTCACCAACTGGGAGACCACTGCCTCCACCTGCCCCTCTTGCCCACCTCCCCCCCATCAGTCATCTTAGCTCCCCAGACCTTAGAGGACAAACCTGACACAGGTATGTCTCCAGCCGAGGCCTCGGAGCTAAGAACGCCCGGATTACGGACAACCTGAAGTTAAGAATGGAGCCTATTGTAGCAAAATTTGAGTTAAATACACCATGGTTCAAATTAAATACACGGTGGTTCGAGTTCATTACTACCTATACAATACTTACATACAAATTCAGCTTAAGGCAGACCTTGGGAACAGAACTCGTTCTTCAACCGGGGATTCCCTGTACTGCCTTCCTGCCTGCCTGGCTTGTGTGCAAAGCTCCTGGGGGTCTTAAAGAGCCTCCCAGCTGGGTCTGACTGAGGGGCTGCCCACTGAAAAAAAGGGGGGTCGGTGGGAAGAAGAACTGGCACCTGAGAAGACCCATGTGCCCATGTTCCTCTCACCCATAATTATCCCTTTTCATTTAGTGTACGTTCACAATCACTTCTGAGTTCTAGGTCATGCTGCCTATGAGAATACCTCTATGAGAATATGGCAGTGGCTAAAGACTGAGGTCATGTTGTCTTCCTGGGTCACAGTGACTGACTCTGGGGAGTCAAGCTAGCCCTTTGAAATGCCCTGGGGAAAACTTACCACCATCTTATTTTCTCACTCCCTCGTTTCAATCTGGCTCTGCAGGAAGGGTATCCAAGTCAGTGAACTTCTGGTTGTAGTTTCCAATCCCAAGCAAATGAGTCAAGTTGGGTGGTTTCTGGTTCTAAATCAGGAAGGGGCTTGTTTTCCTCCCCAAATAAGGGTTCCTTGTGAGTTTCCGCTCTTCCATTGTACAGGTGGGAAAACAGGCCGCTCTGCCCAGTTGGAGGCCGGTTCCCAGGCTGCGATTGGCCAGCCGGAAACCAAAGGCTCCCAAAAGCTGAGGCACAGCTCATCTCACCCCCCACCCCCATTTTCTGTCTCCAGAGATTCCCTGCCGACTCCAGGCATCCGTCTGCTAACACCCCTGCCTCTTTTTTCCCTGCCTAGCGCTTGGCGAGCCACCTGGAGCTGCCGACAGGGAGGCTGAATGGAAAAGTTGCAGAAGGTAACTTCTCAGGAGCGGTGGGCTTGTTTGTTCCATGGATTTGGAAAACGCGGCTCGCGCAGAAGCTATTTGCAGCGATGTGGCAAGGGATCCCCCAGAAGCAGAGGAGTGCCTGCCCACCCCCGCCCCCACCCCGCTTGGCCCCTGCAGACCAGTCGCCCTAGCAGTAACTAGCTGTTGCAGGGTTTCGGTCATCCCCACGCCCCAGACAGAAACGGGCCCCGGGGTTCGTTCTGCTCATGCTGTGGGGAAGCGGGGGTGCGGGCAGCATCCAGAGAAGGGCAAAGGTTAGCCTAGGTTGGATTCATTGGTTACCTACAGAAGGGACCCCAGTTAGGACTTCTGTGGTGACCCCCAGGGCACTTGGTCGGAGGCGTGATGGTGGGAGCAGGCAGGTGCTGGGCCCCTTCCGCCGATGAGGGTGGACAGAGAAAGGGGGAGGGGGTCACATAGCCCCCCACCGCACCCTGGCCCCCTCGGTCCATCCCGACGGAGCAGAGGAGGCTCCTTCCCCCTTGTAAAAGGGAACACACCTGCAGCATAGCCCTTTTGCCAGCCGGATCCCCGCAAAGCCAGCCACTCAATCAGTTTCAACATCCTCCTGGCGTTTGTGATGGCAGCCATCTGCTCACCTTTCCTTTCCTTCCGTGTCTGCCTGCCCCAGGGTCCCCTTTTGACAGTGCCAAAGAATGGTTTGTCCCATGTTCAGAATCTTGTCACCTTCACTAATTCTCTGTCTTTCATCATGTGTTTCCAAAGGGATTATGCTGTCAGAGGCAGAGGCAGAGGCAGAGGCAGCATTAATAAAGTAGGCCCAAACCACATTAGTGAGACAAACAGACCTTCATTGAAGCAGAGACTCACCAAACAATCCCCATTTAGATTTGTTCTTGGATTGCACCGACCAGTCCCTTTTTCTGAACTCGCTCCCACCCTCCATGCATGTGACTGACAGCATAGTGTTTCCCCCGAAGCTGCATTCGTTCAGGAGGTGGCCCACTTCCTCGCCCCATCCCGCCTCTGGATCATGCCACCCTCGGGCTGGCTCAACAGTTCCCTGGGGAGTAGCACAGTACCCTGGTTCAGCCACCCATAGCTCACAAAAGCTTATGCTCTTGAATAAAATGTGTTAGTCTGACAAGGCATTGCGGGACTCCTAGCATGAGCCAATGAATTCCCACTGTCCGCAGCTTGTTTCTAAAGCGTTGTCCGAAGGTAGTGGTCAGTTGTCGCTTTCAACCTCCACCGTGTCCCCTTGAAGAGTCAGGGTGGGACAGCATAGCCTCTGGGGGAGATGGGCAGCATATAAATTGAACAAACAAACAAAGAGCCCCTGCCTTCCCTCTGCGGCCCTAAGGAGCAGTGTCCACAAGGTAGTCTCGCCTCTGGCCTGGCCTCCCCTCCTCTTCTGCTTCAGCTGGGAGATCTCCAAATGGAGGCCGACTGGCTAGCTGGGGAAGCTCAGGCAGAGTCGTGGGGGAGACCCTCCCCTTTCCTGCCCCCGCTGACATCTTGAAAGGGACAGTAGCCCAACTCAGAGAGGAGCACCACGTCCACTGGCCACAGCAACTTCATCCAGCAGGGCTAGGCAGACTCAAGAGGGGCGGGAGGGGGATACCCAGTTGGAGCAGTGCAATCTGTAATGGTGTTGGCTGGTCGTCCTGCCTTGCTGCATTCCCCAGGTGTCCAAGGTGGGTAGCTTCCCACTGGGGAACTGAGGCTCCCTGCGAACAGTCGGAGGAGCCTGACCTGCCTCCTGCATTTCCAGACGGACGAGGCAGGGCGATCCCTTTTCTGACGTTTGTCTTCCCCATGCGGCATCGGATAGGTTCCAGGGCGCCGGGCAACTGAATGGCCAACCTTGTGGTTTCCATCAGCTTCCTGGGCCTCCTAATGTCCTGCTGTCTTCTTTTTTTTTCTTGACCCAACCCAAAATGTGTCCCTTTCCTAGAGGAACCTTTTCGTTCAGGAGCACGCAGCCCCAGATTGCACTGCTAACATTTTAAGGCACTGTTTGATTTTTGAGGCAAAATAAGGGGGGAGGGAGAAGATGTGTTAAGTTAATGTGCACCCTCTCCAGCCCTCACCAAAAAGAAAAGGAGCCCTTTGGCCTCACACCAAATACAGCTGAAAGTGCTTTGGAAACCACCCCAGAAGCTCCTAAGGACAAACGCAGGCACCCTTCTTTAGCTAGAGAGACTTCAGACCAAGCTTCCTCCCGTTTCCTTGCAGCAACTGACTTCCCCAAGGAGCATCAGCTCGGCTCGGGGCTCCAGTGCCCCTGGATCTCCCTCCAGCATCATGGTGAGAGCATGCAGATGACTTGCTTCTTTTCCCCATTTATTTATAGTTATATCCCACTTTACAAACAGAACAATGAGAGCAGAGGGCAAAAAGAAGCTGCCCCATGGGAGAGGGGGCAGGAAAACAGCTCTGGTTGAGGCCTACAGTGGGGTGTGCCATAGCCTTTTGGGGTCTCTTTTTTCACCAGTTTGAGGGGTCAAAGCTGATCTTATGGGGGAGGAATGAGCAAAGCTTCATTTGGCCCAGGAGCCCGAAAGAGAAGGTACGTGCTGCGCTGGCATGGATTTTGGAAAGAGCCGGGCTGCTTTTCCCCCCAAAAGATAGCAGCTCTACAGGAGAGGGGGCAGCAGCAACCTTCTGAGGTGTGGTGGAGTCAGAGGGGGAGCAAGGAGCTTCACTGAAAGGAAACTGGAACCACCATGTTCCAGTGGGGCTGGGGTGGTTGGAGCATAGGGGTCTGGGGAGGCTCAGGGTGCTTCAGTATTCCACAACTCAACCTTTGAATTGTGCTCTGTCTGTCAGGTTTGCTGCTTCATCCAGCCATTGAAGCAACTCTCAACTCATATTCCATTGCTTCTGAATGCTCTTTGCTTCCCAGAGAAGAGCCTTGGTGTCTTTGTGAAGTTTTGGGTCCCTTTGAGCACAACCAGGTGCCCTCTCCTGGGTGCCAGGGTCCCCTGGAACTCAACGTGACCCTCCTTGGGGGTGAAGCTAGCAGTGAGAGGAGGAGGGAAGTCCTTCTCTGTCGCTTCAGTCCCACAAGCCCCCAATCCCCCCCCCCCCCCCCCCCC